GGCTCTTGTTGTGGTCCTTATGCAAATCCACAAGGATATAAAAACGATGTGATATTTTAAAATCAACACAAGCTTTAAGCAGGGCTGGAGTCGCAAGTCAATCCCCACCCTGGCTCAGCAGCTGTGGGAGCCTTTATTCTTTTAGCTCAGCAGGAGCCTCATCTTAAAACCACCTCAGACAGGAGGTCCAAAATCTCCCTGTGCAAGCCCTGGGTCCCTCTTTGACCAGTTTATCTCCTGAATTTTGAGAGTGAAGCATCCCCTGCTGTTCCCGAAGGACACTGTGATCTCCCCGTGGTGCCGCAAGCGAAGCTGTTGGTCCGTGTCACGTGCCCATCACACAAAGCACGTGGTTGTCAGGTCGAGCCCAGAAGAGAAATGCTTGTCACCACCGCATTCCAGGGCAGGACGGAGCCAGGGGATGAAATGGCACAGGGAATTCATCTGGGAAATTCAATACCCGTGAAATCCAACTTGATTCGGTTCGCGTAGCCCGGTGGGAGCCTTTCCTCCAAAAGTGGTTTTCTGGTTTATGCCTGGTGACTAATTTTTAACCTGGTCCTAAGAGAAGTGAAGGCTTCTCGTGGCAAGTCTGCATTTCAGGCACAATGAAATGTAAGAGAAGCATCAGCTGAGTGCTTGTGACCTGTGGCAGTACCTCCAGGTTACTGGGATGCTGAAAACTCAGCAAAGCTGGTTAATTTAGGACAGCACTTGTCTTGAGGGGTTGCTGCAGGATTTACTGAGCCAGAGGGATTGCTTCCAGTTCACAGCTGGTGTTTGCTCAGGTACTGACTCTGCATCTCACCTCCAGGTCTCTTTGGGTGAGAATCCAACACGATGCAAATTCACTCAAGAGTGTAATTCCCAGTTCCTGACTTTACCCACTGAAAAACTGGTGTAAATGAGCCAACCAGCTTCTGCCTAAACTGATCCCTAAAGGGCAATTTGTGTAAATTGATTTATACTGTCTGATTAGAGTGTCCTAAGGTGGATTTAAGGAGTATTCTGGAGCTGCCTCAGTCTGAACATCAGGTGCAGGGGCAGCCTGCAGGATTACCTGAGCTGGGTGCCTAAATTTTGATGGTTATGGTGAATCTCACCTGTAACTCCTACGATAAAATGTCAAATGTGTCAGGCAAAGAAAACTGAGATCACCTCAATCATAGGATCACAGGATGGTTTGGGTTGGAAGGGACCTTAAAGCCCATCCAGTGCCACCCCCTGCCATGGGCAGGGACACCTTCCACTAGCCCAGGTTGCTCCAACCTGGCCTTGGACACTCCCAGGGATCCAGGGGCAGCCACAGCTTCTCTGGACAAACTGTGCCAGGGCCTGCCCACCCTCACAGGCAAGAACTTCTGTCTAACATCTAATCTAAATCTTTCAGTTTAAATCCAAACCTGCCCTTCTGTCAGTCTGAAACCATTATCCCTTGTCCTGATAATTACGATTTCCAGTGAAATACTTGCCTGGCACGGCAATTGTCCTTGGGGTACTCAGTGACTGAAGGCAACAGTTGCTGCTGAAAGAAATGCAATACTGAGCTGAGGCTGGCTCGAACTGACAGCCCTCAGCTCGCTCCTGAGGCAAGAGCTGCCCTGGTGGAATGAAGGGTATGAAATCCCTGACATGCCCATCAAATATTCCTTGTTATCTCAGGGACAGGGTGTGTAGAATAGGTTTGCTCACGTTTCACCTCAAGGTGCTGTCTCCACTTTGCTGCCTTCGCTTTCCCCTTTACAAATACTCTTGAGACAAACCTGAGCTGATAAAGGTGATGTGGTTTTGCTGCCTTCATGACGCATGTTCTCTGTGGGTGGGACTGCACAGCTCCCACCTGTGCCATCAGCAGGGTTTGAGCTGAGGTATCAGTGCAGGAACCTCAACTACTTGAGCTGTGTGAGCAGTTCTAAGTTCTCTGCTGGGAATATCCGTTCCTACAAAAAAAAAAAAAATGAGGTTCTTGGCTCCTTTATTCATAAAATCATAGAATGGTTTGGGTTAGAAGGGGCTTTAAAGATCATCTCTTTCCAACCCTTCTGCTGTGGGCAGGGACACCTTCCACTAGACCAGGTTGCTCAGAGCTCCATCCTAAATGAAGGTGGAGAATATTTTATCAACTAAATTATTCTATATATACCCTGGTCTGGAGGAGAATTAATCCTGTGGGGCTGATATTGTGAGGAGGGAACTGGAATGGTCTCAGAAACATTTTAAAAAGGCTCCTCATCACTTCTAACTAAGTTTTCTGAGCTTTTAAACTCTTAAGTGTTTTTAAGTCTTTTCAAGTCTTTTCAAAGCTGTTTCTGTATTCAGGCATCAATATATCCCTAAAACTTTGCTTAAAATCAGAAACAAGAGGTAGTGAATAAAGTGCCAGCAACTGGAGGGCATCTGGACTCGATTTAAAAGATCCATGAGGATGTAGGGGAGATGAATGAGATTGCAGTGCAGCTGAGAGCAATTATCTGAAGATCAGAGCAGGAGTTTGCACCATCAGTTGGAGAGTCAGGCACCAACATTGGTGTGTGTGATGATGAAATAACGATCAGTGATCACTGTCCCCTCCCTTCGCGCTGATAAACCCTTACCGAGGCACAAACTGCTTTCCTTTTCTCGCTCCAGACGAAGCTGTTACTTTTGTCAACAAGCCCAAGACGCCTCCAGAAATATCAGTCAGTCCTTCTGAGACCCTGGAGCTGGTGTGTGAGGTGTCAGCTGCCGGCGGGGCCGTGGTGTGGAAGAGGGATCACGTCGAGCTGAAGCAGGACCAGAGGACGACGGTGGTGTCCCAGGGGACACAGCGAAAGCTCATCGTCAAGAAGGTGACACAGCAAGACCAAGGGAGCTACAGCTGCGAGATGAAGGATGACAGGCTAACATTCCAAGTCAAAGTCAGAGGTGAGGAGAGGCTGGAAACGCCAAAGATAAGGGGTTATTCCATTCGGAGTCAGATCCTACATTCACAGGATCATTTTGTGGTCTCTCTGGGGTGAACTCTCTCAGCCACAGGGCTTGGTTTTTTGGCCAGATTTAATAATGATACACTCAAACTCTGCATCCGTGACTAGTTGTGATCACAAAGAAATGCTGGGCAGGGATGGAAATTCCTTCCGCTCTCACAACTAGCTGGTGTGTCTGTAGAAAAAAATCCCACAGAATCACAGTGTGAGGCCACAGCAGGGATAGGTGAAAGGGAAGAGGGAGGTGCTTGAAGAGCTCTGATTAAACCCCATCCCTGGAAGTGTTCAAAGCCAGGCTGGACGGGGCTTGGAGTAACCTGATATAGTGAAAAGTGTCCCTGCCCATGGCAAGGGATTGGAATGAGATGATCTTTAAGGTCCCTTCCAACTCAAACCATTTTATGATTAGGTGGAGAGTGACTGAATTTGAGTGACCCAAATAGGCAGAAAATGGTGCCTGGATATGAGGATACAAGGGCTATTCCCTCCTGATTCACTGGAATCTTGGAGAGACATAGGAAGAGAAAAAGAGAGAAGAGGGAGAAGGTTTCAGGCAGTGCCTGATGGTGCTTTAAGATCCAGGTTCAAATCTGTGCTAAAACTGTGAGATTTTAACACTACACCAGAATTCCCATAAAATTCCTATGCCTATTCACCTCTTAGCAAGATACAGATGAAGGTGTTTTCCTGTACTAATGGGCTATCACAGAGATGGGGAAGGGCCTTGATTTGGAGCCTTGTGAGGGCACTGAGGGCACTTGGTGTGTTCAGCTGGAGAAGAGGAGACTGAGGGGAGACCTCCCTGCAGTTCCAACTGCCTGGGCAGGGGCAGAGGAGGGGCAGGACTGAGCTCTGCTCTGGGGGGAGCAGGGACAGCCCCCAGGGAATGGCTGGAGCTGTGCCAGGGCAGGCTCAGGGTGGATCTCAGGGAAAGGTTCTTTCCCCAGAGGGTGGTTGGCACTGAACAGGCTCCCCAGGGCAGTGGGCACAGCCCCAAGGCTGCCAGAGCTCCAGGAGGCTTTGGATGATCCTCTGGGGCACATGGGGTGACTCCTGGGGATGGACCTGTGCAGGGCTGAGGGTTGGACTGGGTGATCCTTGTGGGTCCCTTCCAACTCAGGGTATTCTGTAATTCTGTGATACCTGTGAGGGGAAAGTGCAGTGGAAGAGAAGGAACCTGATTAAGCACTGGAGAAGAGAACTGCAAAAAGCTGTGTGTGACTGCTGTGCTTTTCTGACAGAGCCAGAAGTTGTGTTTACAAACAAGGACAAAGTGAAGAAGGAGGTGAAAGCTGCACTCTCAGAAGATGCCACGCTGAGCTGCGAGGTGGCCCAGGAGAAGACCGAGGTGAAGTGGTACAAGGATGGGAAGCTGATCAGCTCCAGCAAGAAGTTCAAGGTGGAGTCAGAGGGCAAATCCCGTCGGCTGGTGGTGGGTCAGGTGGAGCAGAAGGATGCTGGAGAGTACACCTGCGAGGCTGCTGGCCAGAAACTCACCTTCAGGATCCACGTCACAGGTGGGAGACACATTTTGGTTTTTTTTTTATTTAGTGTCCTTCTCTTTGAATCTGGGTGCAGGACTGGGCAGATCAAGAGTTTACCTGTAGGTACCTGTTGTTCTGTGCTCCTCAGCACAAGAAAGACAAGGAGCTACTGGAGAGGGTCTAGTGGAGGGCACAAAGGTGGTGGGGGGTCTGGAGCATCTCCCTTATGAGGAGAGACTGTGGGAGCTGGGCCTGGTTGGTCTGGAGAAGAGAAGGCTGAGAGGGGATCTCATTAATGCAGATAAATATCTCCAAGGTGGGTGCCAAGAGGATGGTGCCACAGTCTTTTTGGTGGTGCCCAGCAACAGGAGGAGGAGCAATGTCAAAGGACCTCTTCTAATTTGATCATCACTGCTGGTATTTCTCCTCCTGTTATGGATATTCTTCCATGAAAGTCTTTCCTCTTTTTCTGCAAGTGAGAGGACAAGAGCAAATGGCTTCAGGTTACACCAGGGGAGGTTTAGATTGGATATTAGTAAAAAAAAATACTTCACCAAAAGGGTTGTCAGGTATTGGAACAGGCTGTGCAGGGCAGTGGTGGGGTCACAGTCCCTGGAGGGATTTAAAAGCCACGTAGATGTGGCCCTTGAGGACAGGGTTTGGTGATGGACCTGCCAGCACAGTGTTAATGGTTGGGCTCGATGATCTTCCACATCCTTTCCAACCTAAATGATTCTAGGATTTTTTTTGAACTCAGTATATTTTGCAAGAGGGCTGGTAAATTTTGTCCCAGGCTCTTGTCAGCCATGGAATCAGCTACACTCTGAGTGATTATTTCTGAATTGGATGATAAGAGAGAGTTTGGTTTTTTTTTTTTTAAATTAATATTTATAACACTCCACTGTCTTTACAGCCAAATCCCTCTTTGTTAACATCACAATTCTAGCCTCAGAGCTGATCAGGACAGGGAATCTACTTTCTCCTCTGCTGCCTTACAGCACCAAACCCACTGGGAGCACAGTCTGGCAGAGGTTTGGCACTTTATCAGCTGTGTAGTAGAGCAACTGTGTTGGGAGTCTGACTCCACCCTCTGTGGGGTACCCAGGGTGTGAGCTGGGGCACTTTGGCTCTTTTCCATGACTTCTGTAGCTCTTTTCCATGTGTTCTGAATCAAATATCTGAGAGAGCTGCCAGTTTGAGTGAAGGATGAGTTACAGTAAGGGTAGAATTGAGAGGCACCTTCCAGAGAAAATTCAACACGGACAGGGATAGAAAGACCAACGTTGAAACCTAAAATGTTTTGGGTTGGAAGGGACCTTGGAGATAACTTAGTTCCAACCCCCCTGCCACAGGTAGAGACACCTTCCACTATCCCAGGTTGCTCCACACCCTGTCCAATGTATCCTTGGATGCTTCCAGAGATGGGGCAGCCACGGCTTCTCTGGGCAAAATTGGTATTAAACCAAGTACGTGGTCAGCTGCTGAAACTGGTTTGTGTGTTCCTGCAGAGGTGCAGATAGAAAACACAGCAATTTAGTGCTTTTCCACGGGAATTTCTGTCTCTGAGGGCTATTCTTAGCTGTCTGCCTCAGAACCCAAAGGTTTTCAGCTCCCTCAGACCGGATGACTTCCCGGTAACGCAACACCCTCCCCCTGGGCCCTAAGAGCAGAGATTGCCTGGCTACCGTTGCTGTATTCCTCCTGGGAACAACTGCAACGTGACATCCCAGTCCAGCTCTGGCTGCAAAATGATCCAGTGTGAAAGTCAGGAGGGATTATGAGTACTCTGGGTGGTTGGATCTCCCGCGGCAGAAATCCGTCTCCCACTACGCTGTCCCAAAAGTCCGGCGGCTTTCTGGGTCTTAATTTATCCCTTTATACCCCTGCAGTTGGAAAGCTCTGCAGGCTTCCTGTACTCCAGGGCTCCACTGGAAACTCAAAGCCTGCCCTGTTTAAGGGCAGGTTGAAGGTTAGGTGCTCAGTGTTGAGTTTTGGGATGCAGCCGTGGCTTTATTTTTTTTTTTTGGATTAATATAAAAGGGGGTACTGCCCACCTTGGGACTGGGTTGGGCAAGTAGAAAAAGAGCTGATTCTGGAATCTTGTCATTTCAAGATTCATGGTGTGCAGGGAAATCCGTATTTGAAAAGGGAGAAAGCTCCATGTCCTGAAGATGATTTTCCTCAGTTCCATTAAAACTTCCCCAACCGGTTTCAGCTGAGGTTGGAAATGTCACCTGCACTGGATGAACTTGCTGAAGTTTAAAATAAATTTATAAGGCAAATTACCGTGTAAATCACTTCAGGAGCTGGTTAAAAGCTTTAGTCCCATTTCCTAATCATTATAAAAGTGGTTTATATTAAAGCTCAGGGATGAAGAGGACAGGTGAGATGGAGCTGGAATGTCCCTGCCCTGCTGAGCTGACGTTTTAGACACAGCACCCATGGACACAGGCTGGTCTGTAACTCATTTAGTGCACCCTGCACATTCCAAATCCAAGCTGTAAATGGCCACTGAATCTTTGTATTTCTGAAAGCAGTTTTGAATGCAAGCCTTGGTGTGAGGTGGAGCTGTCTTTGATACCGAAATGCTGCTGCCACGTGCCTTTGAGGAGTTTTGCATCACCCAGCGCAGGCCACGTGCCTTCTAAATGGCACTGACACCTCCCTACACCCCTTCCACAGCCAATGTAAACAGAGGAGCTCAAGTTTAAAGCCTATAAGCTGGATTCCTGCTCTGGTTTGCTCCCTGCAGGACGTCTCTCTTTCCATGGGCTGTGCAGTGTTCATAGCAAGGCTCTGATGGGGCTCCAGGACCGTGTGTGGTGACACAGTCAGCAGTGTAGGAACTTGACCTGAGCTTACCCCTTCTCCTCACCCTCCCAGGCAGCTGTTGCCACTCAGAGCCCTGACATGATGAGATGGGATGCAGAGGAGAAAGTCGGCGAGGAGGAGTAAAGGATGGCCCTGGGAGGCTGCAGGGAGTGACTGGGAGAGGAGGGAGGGAGCACAGGTTATGGAAGGGGCTCACCATGACTGCCAGGGAGAACCAGGAGCCTTTAAGGTCACAGAATCACTGAGGCTGGGAAAGAACTCCAAGGCCATCAAGTCTTCCCTCTGCCCCATCCCCACCCTGTCCCCCAGCCCAGAGCACTGAGTGCCATGTCCAGCCCTTTCTTGGACACCTCCAGGGGTGGGGACTCCAAACCTCCCTGGGCAGCCCCTTCCACTGCCTGACCACCCTTTCCAGGAAGAAATTTTCCCTAATTTCCAATCTAAACCTTCCCTGGCACAGCTTGAGGCTGTTCCCTCTCCTCCTGTCCCTGTTCCCTGGGAGCAGAGCCCGACCCCCCCTGGTTCCCCCCTCCTGTCAGGGATTGCAGAGCCAGAAGGTCCCCTCTGAGCCTCCTTTTCTCCAGGCTGAGCCCCCCCAGCTCCCTCAACCCCTCCTGGCACTGCAGACCCTTCCCCAGCTCCCTCCTCTTCCCTGGACACGCTCCAGCCCCTCAACATGTTTCTTTCTCAATGTCACCTTCACCAGGTGGCCCAAAGACCCCAGTCTGGGTGGATGAATTATCTTCCATGCTTGCACTGGAATGCACTGGGAAACCCATCCACTTGCTAATCCAGCATTTCCTGAGGAGGTGGTGCTTCTGCTCAGCAAAATCATGGGGACTTCAGTGCCCAAGTCAAACCCTGGGACCCAAATTGTTGTAGGCTGCCCTTGCTGTGTGATATTCATCACGTAGGCCCACCAGAAATATGTGCAGTTACGTCTTGTGGAAAATCAGTGGGGAAAAAACGTGGCAGCCCGTTTATTTAGGGTTCATTTCTCCTTCCATATCTCAAATGTAAAATAAAATACAAGCTAAAGGTGACCATATCAGTTTTTGGTAAAAGGAGAACCAGGCAAAACAATCATTAATGAATAAAAGGTGCAATTTCTCACTCAGTGCTACTTAGTAAAGAGACAGTGGAATTTTATCAATGCATCTACCTAATTAACTATTAAATACACGGGATATTCTTTTGATGCCAACTCCTCTTGTTGAGATGGAAATTCGAAGGGGTGCCACGGCAGAAAGTGATTTTAAGCCCTTGATTCTTGTTGCTTTTGTTGAGTATTAAAACTTATGGCCAGTTTGCTGAAAAATCAGAGATTTTTTTTTTTTTTTTTTTTCTTTTAGGAAATGAAAGTATACTTCAACTTTTATAGGCCAGTTTTATTTGCTGTGTAGGTCAAGTATTTTTCCATATTAAGAACTGGGTCTTTGTCATTTCTCTGGGATTGGGTTACAGGATATTTTCGAAACAACACCCGGTCTTAATCTGAAATACCTGTTAAAATCCTGTAAATAATGTGACAGTGGAGGTGACAACTCGTACTGGTGCTGTATTTGGCTCGTTCCAAGTGTGGGGAGTAGGAATATCATAAAGACACAATGGAGGAATTTTATCTTTGTCTTCATTACAAGAAATTTGAAAAAGAGGTGGTCGAGCTGTTGATGGAGATGAGTCAGAGAGATACAACTGCATGGACCATTTTTTGAGGGGTTTATGTGATAAAAAGAACTGCAAAGCTATGTTATTCACAAGAAATTATTATAGAATCAAAAGTTATTTGGGTTGGACAAGTCCTTTAAGGTCATGGTGTCCAATGGTTAACCCAGCACTGCCAAGCCCAACATCCTGCAGAGCACCTGCACCAAATACATGTAATATCTTCTTGTCACGAGTTATTTACGGTTTATGTATAATTTTAAATTGTTTCCCTGTTTCAGAGGCAGAAGGTGCCTTTGTTCACAAGGAGAAGGTGCAGAAAGAGGTGAAAGCTGCACTCTCAGAAGATGCCACGCTGAGCTGCGAGGTGGCCCAGGAGAAGACCGAGGTGAAGTGGTACAAGGATGGGAAGCTGATCAGCTCCAGCAAGAAGTTCAAGGTGGAGTCAGAGGGCAAATCCCGTCGGCTGGTGGTGGGTCAGGTGGAGAAGAAGGATGCTGGAGAGTACAGCTGTGAGGCTGCTGGCCAGAAACTCACCTTCAGGATCGATGTTGCAGGTGAGGGATTGCCTTTTTACACCTTTTTTTTTTTTCCTGTAACTATAAAGTTTCCTAGTGACATAAGTTAACTTTAAGCCTTGCTCTGTCTGGGTCTGCAGCAGAACTTAAATGGTTGTTCTCAAAGATCAGTTTTAAGGACTTGTGTTTGGATGCTTTGGGAAAAAGCCCACTTAGGCTGAGTAGTCTTTCCCTGGTTTTGACCAGGAATGGTGACTGGGGAAAAAGGATGTGAGAACAAGACAAGCTTACAACAATCCTTCCACTCTAAGGGTCTACAGTTCCACTCTAAGAATCTGTAGTTTCTGTCTCTGCTGGGACAGTTTTTCTGTCACATCTGTCACAAGAGATGTGGCTTTGCTGAGTTTTGCCAACATGACTCCCCGTGGAGTTGCACCACACAGAGAGGTTCAAGTGTCAGTTCAGATCAATATCCAGAAGTCTGTGTGTGCTGGTGAATCCTCAGTGCACCCATTTCTGTCATTACTGCCAGTTATTTTCATGGAGAAAAAAAAAAATCATGCAGTAGTTCCTTTCTCATCTTCCTCTCTTCTGTCCTGCTTGACAGTGTTTCGAGGGAACAATAACTAAATTTGATGTAGATGTTTCTTTTCTGACTGTGGACCACAAGCAAACCTCAAAGAAGCATTCAGTTAAGAGCACATGGATTAAAAGCACATCCCAGGGATGTGGGGCAGCACAGTTGGATTCGGTGCAAAGATCTGCCCTTTTCTTTCATGAGGTTCACCCAACACAAAAATCTAACCGTGTCTCTATAGAAGTGGGGGCATTTTCCCAGCCTGGTGCCCTGATCAGACTGCTGAGCCTGTTATTTTAGATCCATCAGTGAGTGATTTTTAAGTCTCTTCCGTGCTGGAGGTGGTTTGGGGCTGGCCTGCTCCCAGGTATCCCATGATATTACGGCACTGGCACTCATGTGACCGCCAGCTGTGGGCCTTGCTGAGGAACAAACGATTGGGTTTCACTCTGCTTGCCCTGCCATTTCTGCACTCTGTGATATACATTGCTGGGGGATGACCCTGCAAGGAAACTGGAGACAGATCTGCCTCCTCATCCCTTGTGCCAGAAAAACTGCGGGGTAATCCTTATTCTGTGGCTTTTCTTTTTGTCTAGAGCTCTGTGCAGGTTGTAGGAATAGTACAGGGTAAGGCTGAGGTTTCCATTTTATTTCAAACTAGGAATGCATCTGAGAGCAGAAACTGTCAGGAAAAAAAGAAACAAGTCTGTGAAAGGCAGAAATTAGGAAAAGGATCTTATCACAGTGTTTGAAGGAAAAGCTCTTTGTAGCTTCCTGTGGAAGGATCTTCTCATCTGGGACCAGGAAACCTTTTGCCTTCATTGGATGAGCAGGCACTAAAGTGCTCTTGGCAATTGCTTGTGTGCAGCTGAGCAAGTGGAGAAAGCTGTTGGCAGCAATAATGGAAGGTTTCACGGGTCTTTTGGGTTAAAACCCAAAGACTGACCTGCTTTTGGGGCTTCTGAAAGAGTCATGTTCATGGCTACGAGGGTTCACCATCCTTTGCAGGTTGCTGTGGTGGGTCCCCCACTGTCACCAAACTCCTCTACATCTCACATCCTTTCTGTAAGCAGGGGAAAGGAGAGTGTTGTACCTAAAAGTGTTTTTCACATCACAGGCTTTGAGGTGCTTGGGTACCACAGAAAGAGGGACAGGCATTTTGTCTTCAGTATATAAGCGATATAAAATGGGCCCAAGCCCATTGCTGCCAAAGAGAGGCCCTTTCTCAGATTTAGCAAATGAGTAAATATCAGAAAGCAGAGAAGAAAAGGCCCTCTCTTGCCACTGAGAGATTTGCTGGTCACTCTAGAGGCAGAAATGGTGGGATTCATTTAGGTGCTCCTTCAAGACTGCTGGGGAAGAATGCTGTAGAACTAGACACAGAAAATGGGCCTTCTGGCCCTCTTGCTTTAACTCTAGATCATCTTTGTTATCCCCTTGTTGTTGACTGAAGATACAACTGGGCAGAAATACCAACGTGAGTTTGTGTAAAATACCCTGAGGGGAATTCAAGCAAATGAAAGCTCTCCCTGAAGAGAATGACCTGGGATGGAGCACAAGCGTGAGCTTAGGAGTCCCTCACTCAGCCTCCTCCTGTGTGATAGAATCCCAGAACGATTTGGGTTGGAAGGGACCTTCAAGATCATCTCATTCCGTGCCCTGCCAAGGGCAGGGACACCTTCCACCTGACCAGGTTGCTCCAAGCCCCGTCCAACCTGGCTTTGGACACTGCCAGGGATGGGAAGTGTAACATCCCTTGCTTATAATAAAGGAAAAAAATATCTGCCTAGAGAGGGCTAGAGCCAAAATGAAGAAATTAGCCCCCAGGACAACACTTTCTAGGAGCACTGGCTTGTTCTCTTCAGAAGTGTCACAGGAAGTGTTCTGAAACTTGTAACCCACACGTTTTACATCACTGTCAACTCCTTACCCCAGAGTTGTGTCCAGAGACACAGCTTCCCAGAAGAGTTCTCCTTTTTTCATTCCTTATTTGTGCTCTGTCTTTTAAAGGATTTATATATACAAGGCATTACATATATTTTTTGCTGGCCTTAGTAATCCTTCCTTGTCTGTTCTTCTGCTGGGTAAGATATAAATTCTGAACACTGTAGTGGGGAGGCAGCAGGTTCCACACTGAGTATTGAATAAACTGTTGATCTGTTCTTCATAAACCAGTTCTCGTAATTCATACAAGTTTGGTAGTTCCAAATAAGTGCATTACAGAGATATATTTTTTTTTCCCCTCTATCTACTGTATCATATTAGGATCCCTATGTCCAATCTTCTTTCCCATGTCCAGCTTCTCAAATTATGTCCTTGGAACTTATCAAAACCAAGCCTAAAATCAAATTACTGTTCTTAATTCAGTGTCTGTTTGATTGGACTCTGTGGCAGCCATTCCATCTGGAAACCCAAGATGCTCCTGGCACAGCTCCAGTGGAGGTGACCAGGATGATTAGGGGGCTGGAACACATGTCATATGAGGAGAGGCTGAGAGAACTGGATTTGTTCAGCCTTAGAGGTGAGAAGAGAAAGCAAAAGGAAGCTTTAACTGCTGCCTGCATCTGTTTAATAAGAGGATATGGAGTCCACAGCTCTGTGTCTTCTCAGAGATCCAAGGTGATAGGACAAGAGAGAAAATAAACAAGTTGGAACTTGCACGGGAGGTTCTGAAAAGATATTAGGAAAAATTTGCACCTTAAGGGTGGCCAAGCTCTGGAACAGGAGCCTTGAGGATGTGGGGTCTCCACTGCTGGAGATACCCAGTGGGATGTGACTGTGAAGAGCTTGGTGTAATTTCATCTGCTGTGAGTGGGGACTGAGTGGCCTCCAGACATCACTCCTAACCTGAATTACTTTATGACTGTGATTTTGTCCCATTAGTAGCATATGTCCTGCAGAATAAATCTGGGAAGTGATGCTGTTCCATAAGGACTCAGCTCCATGTAAATGTCTATGAAGGTACTCCAGCTGTTCTGCATTTATTTCATAACCCTTACTGATGTTTTCCTAAATATCACTTGGGCCCAGCCATGGGGTCAGCGCTGGCAAATGAAGGATCCTCCCTGGAGTTTGTCCTGTTTGCTGTGACTGTGCAGCCCAGACTTCTCTGCAGGTGAACAAAACACGCCCTGCTTTCCCAGGAGAGCCCATCCTGCTTGGCCTGTAGGGAGGGACCCTCCAGAGGGCCTGCAGGAAAGCTGGTACCAGCCTTCAGATCAGGCATGGAAGTTCTCCTTGCTGCACAAATGAGCAGCAGCTGAAGCTGTGATGCGTGGAAGGAAATTGTTCCTGCCAGTGCTTCATGGAGCATTTGCTTAGCTCTGACTCTTTCAGCCTTTTTCATTCCACAGCTGATTTTTTTTTAAACTGTGAGGCACCAGGTGGTGTCTCACCAAAACCCCAAAGCCACGTGATCTTGGAGGCAAAGATTTCATTTTCATGGGGTCTTTTTCCTAAACTTTTTTTTTCCTGCTTTCCAATCTTGCAGATGACGCGTTTGAGCACAGGGACAAAGTGCAAAGGGAGGTGAAGGCAGTGCTGAAGGAGGACACCACTCTGAGCTGCGAGGTGGCCCAGGAGAAGACCGAGGTGAAGTGGTACAAGGATGGGAAGCTGATCAGCTCCAGCAAGAAGTTCAAGGTGGAGTCAGAGGGCAAATCCCGTCGGCTGGTGGTGGGTCAGGTGGAGAAGAAGGATGCTGGGGAGTACACCTGCGAGGCTGCTGGCCAGAAACTCACCTTCAAGGTCCACGTCACAGGTGAGAGAATGTTCTGCATCCCTGGTTTAACCTAAAAAAATTGAAGGAGGGGAAAGTTATGTGGCTTGGAAAACTCCATCTCAACAGGCGGTGACTGAGTCAGCACGTAAATGGTGTTGCTTCACTCGTGGAATTGTTTTCACACTATTAGGTCTGTCTCCCTTCTTTGGAAACTAAAAAATGCAGTGGATTTCTGTAGCCCAGACTCAGGTCAGGCTGAAGATTGTCAGGGAATTTCCCTGGGAATTTGCACTGATAGCAAACTAAGGATTAAAAAAATTCCAGAGAAATTAAAGGGCACAACAAATCTGAGCACAGATTATCTCATGGAAGCTCCTTCCTCAAATCAGCTTCATTATAGAGGAAACCTTTTTATTATGAATGGAAATACTACAGCTGTTCTCAGAGGCAGCAGATGAGGAAAACCAGATATCACCATGATATCAGCAAGGACAAGTTTTAGCCTTGACATCCCTCAGTTGGATCTGGAGAAATTTAAAGCAAATTGAGGAGCTCATACATTAGATATATTTTTGATTGTGACATGGTGTAGCGCAGAGGAAATTCCATGGGAGCTGGCTGATCTTCATTCATTAGAGAAGTACAGTTCTGGGATGGCACGTCTTTAAAACATTTGGGAAATAAAGATGGAGACAAAGTTTGTTTCCCAGCACTATCTTTGCTTTGGCTGCAATTACAGCTCTTGGCAAAACTGAATTTAAGTCAGCAAACTGACTTCTTACAGACCTCATCCACCTGCCCTGTGTGCTGCTGGATTTTGGGATCTGTGAACTTCTTCCCTGCAGATTTTGGAGCAGGATGGTGGTGCAAATAGGAGCAACTTTGGGGCCGTGTCTTGGACTACCAGTAAAGGAGTCCTTCACCAGCACTTGATGCAATTCAAATATTAGCAGTTGAGTTGGGTCACCTGTAAGGCACAACAAGGGGATTGGGCAACAACTTATTTTGGAGAAACTTGTGAACTCCTCTCTCTTTTCAGAGCCAGAAGTTGTGTTTACAAACAAGGACAAAGTGAAGAAAGAGGTGAAAGCTGCACTCTCAGAAGATGCCACGCTGAGCTGCGAGGTGGCCCAGGAGAAGACTGAGGTGAAGTGGTACAAGGATGGGAAGCTGATCAGCTCCAGCAAGAAGTTCAAGGTGGAGTCAGAGGGCAAATCCCGTCGGCTGGTGGTGGGTCAGGTGGAGAGGAAGGACGCTGGAGAGTACAGCTGTGAGGCTGCTGGCCAGAAACTCACCTTCAAGATTGATGTCACAGGTGAGAGGAGACTCTTCAGCTCATTGTTCCTATTTCTAGAATCTTTAGAAAAATTAACATTTATTTTTTAAACCTTTTCCGTGTTACGCTTCAAATTTTTGGCGAGCGTCGTTGGAACGGCCCAGCTCTGATGTAGAAATGGGGCAAAAAGATACAGATACAGTTACCTTCATGTATTCTGTGTAGAAGATTAGAAATCCTTAAAACAGGGGTCCTTGGAAGCAACACATCCCTGTGGGAGAAGTAGATTGTGCATCTCTTTCCTCACACGCTGGAGTGATGACAATAAACCTGCAAAATGATCGAAGCAGCAGCAGATGCAGCTACTGAGAACCAAAGAAATCAGTTACATGGGGCTATGATGCAGCACAGGACAGCTCCTTCCTCTAAAAATTTGTTGTATTGCACTAAACTTCAACTCAGATGTGTCCTACCTATGGACCCTGCCATATAATCCTTCTGTGAACCATTCAGAGGATCTTTGGGATCACTGCTGTCAGAAAACCAACCCAGATAAAACCCACCATAAAAACCCCACCACAAAATGGTTTGTGTGTTCTTCCAGTAGTTTTAGATGTGCATTGTCAAGTCAGGGGTGGTTTCCCACAGGGTTACCTGTAAGGCACGACAGGGGGATTGGGCAACAACTTATTTTGGAGAAACTTCTGAACTTCTCTCTCTTTTCAGAACCAGAAGTTGTGTTTACAAACAAGGAGAAGGTGCAGAAAGAGGTGAAAGCTGCACTCTCAGAAGATGCCACGCTGAGCTGCGAGGTGGCCCAGGAGAAGACTGAGGTGAAGTGGTACAAGGATGGGAAGCTGATCAGCTCCAGCAAGAAGTTCAAGGTGGAGTCAGAGGGCAAATCCCGTCGGCTGGTGGTGGGTCAGGTGGAGCAGAAGGATGCTGGGGAGTACACCTGCGAGGCTGCTGGCCAGAAACTCACCTTCAAGATTGATGTCACAGGTAATACATACCTTTCTGAATGACAGGAGAGGACAACAAAGCAGTAACTGTGATATCTCTTCCACCATGACCCTGTCGCTGTGCTCTGGGTTTTGTTGCAGCCCGTAGGGTTCACCTGATGTTCTGCACCTCGTTGCCTGGATTTGTGGAAATGGGAATATTTGGCTTTAGATGGCACAAAGGCCTATCTCATTCTTACGTGGGCTATATAATAATAGTTGCAGATATAAATATAATAATCAACATATTATTTGACAATGATAATCAACATAAATTAATGAACCTGCATTCCCGGGATGCCAAAGAGTGATTCGTTGTACACTGATCCCCTTGAAAGGACAGAATCATTCAAAAATCCTCTTTTTATTAGACTCCCCATCCCATTTCTGAAAACTGAGAGCTGGAATAAATTTTTCCCATTTGCATTTTCATCAGCAGTACATCTCAAGATGGGTTGAAAACAGAATTTTTCTGGTGAATTCGGGTTGCTGTGTGCTTGAGACCTCAGCCTTTTGGAGTGCCTAACTAATTCTGCCAGGTGCCAAATGCCCCTTTGCTGTGAAAGATTCCAAGAAACTGGTCTTTTGGAACAGGATTCACATGGTGCCCAAACTGCACCCGACCTTGCCCTTTGTCTCTTTGGCAGTAGCATTTGTGGCAGTGGAAGAAGCCAAGAAGAATCTGTTCCAGAAACCCATCGTTATTTATTGTGTCCTAGATCTAAAGTGAAAGGAATTTGGGTGATCTTGATGACAGGCAGGACAGGTGTTTCGGGGAATGTTCGAGTCAAATATTCTTTCTTTCGTGGTGATTTGCAACCACAGGGGTGATGCCGATGATATTTTGATACCTTCCATTCCTAGGCTCTTAATTCCCAATTTCCACGTGGCAACTCAGTCCCACAGGAGGGTTGATATTGCCCAGTGACAGCAATTGGTTTTGGCAAGCGACAACCCAAATATTTTTCTAAAACCTGCCTACAGAAGCCCACAAGATCAATCTCATTTTAGTCCCTCAATCATAAATAATCAATCATTTCCTTCTTTTTTCGGTGCCCAGAGCCCAAACCTGCATTTATAAACCAGGAGAAGGTCCAGAAGGAGGTGAAGGCTGTGCTGACAGAAAGTGCCTCCCTCGTGTGCGAGGTAGCCCAGGATGCAACCGAAGTGAAGTGGTTCAAGGACGGGAGACTTCTGGTTCCCTCCAGGAAATTCAAAATAGAGACCGTGGGCAAAACCCGGCGCCTGGTCATAGAGCAGCTGGAGAAGAAGGATGCTGGGGAATACATCTGTGAGGCTGCAGGCCAGAAGATGACATTCAAGCTGGAACCAACTGGTGGGTGCTCCTTTTCTGGTGTTGAGCACCAGTCTATGAGGAAAACTGGATATTCCCTACCCAGCAGCCGCGGTGCAGCCACCATGTCCCCTGGAGCAGGGAAATTAATTTCCCCACAAGGGAAATTAATTTTCAATTTAGCAGTGCAGAGATGGGAAATGTGGACTTTTTTTTCGTGTGTGCCCCAAAAATGCCCAGTTTTGTGGCAAAGTGTTGTACGAGGTAGGGAAGAAGCCAAGAGCAAGGTACTGGAGTGACAGAATGGTTTGGGTTGGAAAGAACATCAAGGATCATTCGGTTCCAACCCTCCTGTCAGTGAAGCAAATAGAAAACAGGCCTTTCATTCAGACTTAGCATATTAAAATTCCTTATTAACTTGACCTAAAATCCTAAAAATGGGAGAGGGAAGAATTATACAGGTTATTTACTTTTTAGATAGAAGCTTTTGGGCAGCAGATAAAATACATACGTTTGCATCTCCTTTCCCTGCTTCTCTTCTAAGCAGAAGCTCTGAGTTACCCAAGAGATCATTTTGTTTCTTCCCACTCAACAAAAGATGATACCAGCCACAAATATTCACCCATATTCCCTGGATTGTTGCAGGTTGGGGATGAGCTGGCTTTGAGTCAGGAAAGAGGGAGCAACAGAACATTGCTGCGTTAAGAATTTGGTTATCTGAGTTCTTAATTTCCCTGTTCCGATGTCTTTTCCCTAGAACCAAAGGCTAAATTTGAAAATAAGGTTGTCCAGAAAGAGCCTCTCATTGTCCAAGAACATGAAAGTATCACACTGACAACTTCAGTGACGCCCGAAACTGCTGCAGTGAAGTGGCTCAAGGACGGAACAGAAATCAAGGCGAGCAAGAAGTGTGTGATCAAGAGTGAGGGGGCGTCCAGGACCCTGGTGGTGAACCTGGCTGAGAGCACAGACACTGCTGTCTACACCTGCCAGACCAAGGACGACAAGCAGGAATTCAAAGTGCAGGTGAAAGGTGAGCAGGGAGCAGAGCACAGGTCGTGTCCCGACCCGACAGCGGCGCTTCCCTCGTGGTGGGATGGGGGTGAAGTCCAAACCTATCCCTAAAGCTGTTCCAACCTCAGGGCTTGTTGCACCTGCTCTGGATGTCCCACCATGGGCCAGCAAGGATCTCCTCTTTCCAAATACCCAGTTTTTGTCCTCTGCCGGCCTGCTGGGGACAAGGAAGCTTTTCCTGAAGTCTACTCCCCTTCTGTTTTTGTCTCCTCATGACCCCGGTAGCTGGGACATGACAGACACTCAGCTCTTCCCCTCTGTGCTCACAGAAGAAACTGGTGAGGGTGTAGAGGGGTGTTTTGTGGGGAAAAAAATTGGTGATTTATTCACACAGGGAAACATCCTCAGTTCATGGGATGGAGCACCCAGGATGCTGTTCCCTGCTCAAGGCTATAAAATGGCAAGCAGTATGAAGGAGAGCTGGTCCACAGATGGAGATGAGAGGGATGATGTCCCAGAGCAAAGCCCTGCTCCTTTCTCTTCAGACACTCCCCCTGGAGATGTCTGGAGCTGAGATGCACTCCCTCAGCTTCCTGAGGAGTCATTGCAGGGGAGAAGTTGCTGATAGGTAATAATACTTCCAATGAAGTATGTTGAAATGTCTCTTTGAGATGAGAGAAATCACACCCTGGATTTCTCCGACACCACTGGCTGTGTCTGCAGTGGAGGAAGAGACAAAGGTGGCTAAGGCTTGTGTATCCATGCAGATTTTAGCATTTATTCAGGAAAAGCAGACTCTGCTGTAAAAACACCACATGGCTCATCAGGTAAAAGATTAGAAAGAAAGGAAGACGATACCCAACAGTGTTTGAAGACATTGTTGTTGCTTTACAGAATGATGGTGATATGAAAATACCATGTCAAAGGAATCTCACTGAATTTCCACTTTCCAGATTTGTTTCTGTCTTTGATCCCCAAATATGTTCTAGGGCAACTTCGTTTGTTTGGTTGTTTTGTTGCCAAAGTTGTCCAGAAGCAGTTCCTCCAAACAAAGTTTCTTATCTTCTCCTTTCTCAACCCTTTCCCTTCTCGTGGATCCCAGAAGTCCCAGTGAAGTTTGCCAAGAAACTGGAAGCTGTCAAAGCCGAGATTGGGGGCAGTGTCACCCTGAGCTGTGAGCTGAGCCACCCCAGGGGGAAGGTGACCTGGCGCAGGAACGGGGTTGAGATCAAGCCCAGCAAACGTTTCCAGATGCACGAGGAGGGGCTCAAAAGGACCCTGACAATAACAGGGATCCGGGCTGAGGATGAGGGGGAGTATTCCTGTGAATCCAGAGACGAAAAGAGCAGCATTACCATCACCCCCAAAGGTACATCCCTAGTGGTGACGGTGTTGGAGTTCTGTCCTCAGCCATTACAACTCTGCAAAGCAGAATTTGTTCGTGTGTCTGTGTTGTCTCGTGTGTTGAGAGCAAAATACAAACCTCCCTTTTCCTCTCAGTGTCACTAGAATGTCTATTTGTGAAAAACATAATGATTTGGAGACCTGTGAGGCTCAGGTCTCTTAACATTGACGTTCATGTTGCATTTGAGGCTGGAATTCGGTATCCAAAATCTATGATGGCTTTTTTTTTTCCTCTCTGTTTGTTTGCCTCTGGCTTCAGGCCTCTTTATATACTTACTCAGACATGAGAAATATCCAAAGATGATCCATTATTGTGATCACCTACTGTGAGTAATGAAGGTGAACAGTGGCAGGACCTGAGAGGAATGGCCTGGAGTTGTGTCAGGGCAGGTTTAGGTTGGATTTCAGAACAAGATTCTTCCCCCAGAGGGTGGTTGGCACTGAACAGGCTCCCCAGGGTGGTGGGCACAGCACCAAGGCTGCCAGAGCTCAAGGAGCTTCTGGATGATCCTCTGGGGCACATGGTGTGACTCTTGGGGACGGACCTGTGCAGGTCCTTGCGAGTCCCTTCTAACTCAGCGTATCCTGTGAAATATTAAAGCTTCCAACAAAATAAAAGATTTTGGCTCTTTGAAGGTGCTCGTGCCACGTCCCGAGGACAGGCTTTAAACGTTTTTGTTCCTACCCACCAGCTCCCAGAGTGGTGAAATTCATGACCAGCCTCAACAGCGTGGTGTCTGAGGAAGGAAAAGAGGCCGTCTTCAAGTGCACCGTCTCTCCCAGCGACGCCGTGGTCTCCTGGCTCAGGAACGGTGTCAAGCTTGAAGCCAGCAAGAAGTATGTGATCTCTCAGAAGGACTCCAACCACAGCCTCACCATCACTGACCTGACACTGGAAGATGCAGCTGAAATCTGCGCCAGTGCTGAGGGGGTGGAAAGCACAGCCAACCTCAGAGTCCGGGGTAAGAGCTGGTCGTGCCCCCTTTTGCAGGGTGTCCTTCCCCTGGGGTTGGAACTAGATGATGCCTCCCAAGCCCAAACCATTCTGTGATGATGATTCTACGATGTTGTTTTATAATAACGCGTAGTAGGAATATTCTGCCTTTGTGTCATTAAATAGGGATGCTCAGGATGCTTTGGGACTGGAGGCGTATGAACCACCATCCTAATTTTCCTCTGAAAACCCATTTTCTGTATTATCTGCTTTCTCACTAAAATTTCCCCTCCTTTGGCAGAGGCCTCGATCTCATTCAAGAAGAAACTGGAGCCCAGAACAGTCGAGGAGAGGGAGACAGTGACCTTGGAGGTGGAGCTGACCAAGCCTGCAGAGGTGAAATGGATGAGGAACAGCATCGTGCTGAAGCCCAGCGACAAGATCGAGATCAAGGCTGAGGGAACAAAGCACACCTTGGTGGTGAAGGACATCTCCTTTGCAGACAGGGGCTTCTACTGCTGTGAGAGCCCTGATGACAAGACCCAAGCCAAGATCAACGTGGAAAGTAAGTTCAGTGATCTCCAGTTCTGTAAATATCCCGGACAGGGTCTGGAGGTGGATTCATGGAGACACAGGGACACAACCATGGGCTTGGCCACCAGTCAGATGAGCAAGTGGAGGTGAAAGAAAGGGCAGCAAACAGAGAATGTCTGGGTGACTGCTCTTGCCTCCATCTCATCCCACCAGCTTTCAGTCATGCTGTTGACCATAAAGCTTCTTCCTGATTTTTCTCTTTCCTCTGAAATTCCTCACTCTGGTGGGCTCTGTGTTTTTCCTGTGTATGTTTGTTTGTTTTTTTTGTTTTTTTTGTTTTTTTTTTTGGCAAACCATTCCCTCTTCAGCCATTCGTTGTCCTAATTTTCCCTCTGCAAGCAACCTCTTTCAGAATGTCTCTTTCTGGTCAGTCAGGGTCAGAAAAACTCCCAAGAGCAAATCTGAGGGTGTTGCTCTTTTGGGTGATTTCATGATGCCTCACCTGTAGCTCTGTATTTCTGTGCCTTTTTCCTACATCCTTTTGTCACGATTGTCACAGGATAGATGAAGGCAGGATTTCAGGGCGGCCTACCTCAGTCATGTTTGCATTCATCTCCTGGCTGAATTATTGGATTATCTCTGCTAAACATGCACTAGGAAGGTTGAAATATTCCCAGGAGACCCTCTGAGAATTGAAGGTTCTTGTGGATAACTCACGGCTTTTTAGAGGGTTGGGTTAGGGGTTTTTTTATTGGTATTTTTGGTGGTTTGTGGTTGGGTTTTTTTGTGGGGGGGGGGTTGTTTGTTTGTTTGTTTTTGTTTGTTTGTTTTTGTTTGGTTTTTGTTGCGTGGTTTTTGTTGTTGTTGTTTATTTATTTATTTATTTTAAATGGCAACTTAATTACTTTTAGGAGTGATACAAGTTTAAATACTAAATCCATTTTACTGGCTGACAGGACATGACTGTCTTGTCACAAGAACATGTAGTATCCACCCAAACCATGGGTGCTTTGCCCCCCGAGCTGTGAGTTGTCAGCACACTTTGCACCATATCATGAAATTTTTTTTTTTTCCTTTCACTAAAAGCTTTTCTCTCCCCCTGCTACTTCTTTCCGTTGTTAAATCCTAGTTGAAGAACTGCAGAATGTTGTCGTGGATTAACTATATTCATTTCTTCACTAAAAAACAGTGGACCTTGATAGAAAAGGGGGAGGTTTTCCCTTTTCTGTGATATTTGGTTGACCCACTGAAAGCATCCATTTTAAAAACAGCAGCCATGTGTGGCCGTGGGCAGGCTTTATTTCCTGTGAAAGGGGTTGTTTAATTGGCAGATACCAATTAACTGGCAAGTACCTGCAAGAGGAAAGGGGAAATAATCCATTTTGGAAATCCTCGGGGTATTTCACGGCTCTCACTGTGAGATCTCCAATTTTCCCGTGGTGTTTTCCAGTGAGGCAGATCAAGCTGGTGAAAGGCCTTCAGCCCCTGCAGGTTGCCGAGAAAGGGACTGTCACCTTCGAGGTGGAGGTGTCACACGAGGACGTGGAGGGGACCTGGCAGAGGGACGGAGTTCGGCTGAAACCCGCACCCAACGTCAGCTTCGGCGTCCTGGGCAAGAAGCACTCGCTGACTCTCTCCTCGGTGACCCTCGAGGACGCAGGAGTCATCTCCTTCAAGGCAGAAGGCATCAGTTCATCAGGGAAACTCACTGTGACAGGTACACTGACCCAAAAGGCTCTGCTTGGTGTGGACCTACTTGTCTTCCCCTGACCTGGAGGGCAAACTCGAGAGCTCAACAAGCTGTCCTTGAAACTGCAAGGGGTGTTAAGCGCTGGACCACCATCAGTAATATACCCTTGTATCATCAGCATTATTGTGGCATCATTGCCCACGGAACAACTAGTGACAAAGTGCCCAAAACGTGATGATTTTTTAGTCACAGGTTTTATTAACTGTGGAAGCCAGGCCCTGCCTACCCGTTAGTGCTTGGGTCAGACGGTCCTGCAAACCTCATTCCCCACTCACTGGACCTTCTCTGTGTTTTTTTTTTTTTTCTTTTCTCAGAATTGCCTGTGAGAATCAGCAAACCTCTGGTGGATGTCAGCGTGACTCAGAAACTCAAGGCCACGTTCGAGTGTGAGCTGTCCAGGCCCAATGTGAACGTGAAGTGGTTCAAGGTACAGCACTAATGGATGTTGATATTTTAATTCCTGACTCCTCTGGAAGGGAATGAAAGCCTTTCATTTCACTTCCAGGGGATGTGAGTCTGAGCCTTTGCAATGCAGCTCTTGGCACTGCCCTCTTGTCCTGATGTTTACTTGCTCTCCCAGTTTATCACTGTTTTTATTTACCCTGAGTGTTTATTGGGTTGAAAGTTAAACTTTTTCATTCTTGTACAGAATGTAAGTGCTGCTGTTAAAACAAAGCAGTTTTGTGCTTTACTTCATCACCCAGGATTTACAAGGCCTTTTGGAACTGTGATTGAAGGGAAACCTCAATTTCCTTTTTGTCAGTGAGAGTCCAGTTCCCTTTCCCTTGACAGTCATTTTGGGGTCAGCTCTTGCATTTCATGTACCTTCCTTGGACTCAGCTGACATTTTCCCTAATTTGGGATAACAACAATCCTTCAAGGCAATCATAGAATCTCAGATGAATTTAGGTTGGAAAGGATCCTTAAAAGTCATCCAGTTTCAACCCCCCTGCAATTAACAGTGACATGTTCAGCCAGATCAGGTTGCTCAGAGCCCTGCTCAACCTGACCTTGAATTTTTCCAGGAATGGGACATCCACCACCTCTCTGGTCCCTCCCCACCCTCATTGAAAAAAACTTCTTTCTGATATCTAGTCTAGATAGACCCTCTTTTAGTTTAAGACCATTTGTGTCTGAAGGGGCTTATTGCCAAACCCTGTGCAGTGTTTTAAGCCTTCAGACAGGTGTCTGAGACCATCAGAAAGTTATGTGAGTTCTTCAACCACTCCAACTTGCTGAAAGCTTTTCACCATGCTGATGTTTCAGCGCATGTTCCATTAGGTCCAACGAGGCAAATGAACAAAGCACAGCTCTGAATGCCTGTTTTGCTCACTGCAGGTGTGCAGGAGCTGACAGTGATCTGGTTTGGCCTTTTCCCCTTCTAGGATGGGAAGGAGATCCGGCAAAGTCAGAACGTGGGGATCGTTTCCCAGGGAAACAAGAGAAGCCTCATAATTCACAAGTGTGAATATGAAGACCAGGGAACCTACAGCTGTCAAGCAGCTGAAGACAAGACATCAGCTACTCTAAAGGTTCAAGGTATGTTTGGCTGAAGCAGGAAATTATATTTACTGCAGTAGTTTTTGGCCACCCAGCAGGAAATTCTTTGTGGACAGTTTATGTGTTTCACAACTGCTGGCAGAGCTGTCCTGTGCTTGCATTATCATCTTGGTAAAACATATTCAGTTTTTCATTTATCATAAGTAATTTCTATTCTCTGGCACTTGAATGGTGTTTCTGGATTGGCAAATTAACAAATCCTGGACAGCCTGGCACAAAGCAGGGATTCAGTGGCTGGTGCTGACGTGGTTTGGTTTATCTTCTGCCGTTGTCACAGGGGGGACTTCACCTGAATAGGGACTGGACAAACTTTGGGTATGAGCTAAAGAGGTGCCCTAATTTTTAGCTTGTAAATGCTGAAGGGATGTTCATTATTTCTGCCTGCACTTCTCCTTTATGCTCCAGGGAATTTTTCCCTCTGTGCGTTGCACTGAGCAGCTGCTCAAGCACCAGGAGCGTTTGGTCACTGAAGCACCAGAGATAAGCTGGTGCTAAGGGCAAGTTGCTCAAACAGACAGGTTTGCTGTGCCCTGGCAGATGTTATTTCCCAGAGGGACATCTGAAAAACAGAGCTTGCTGAAAGATAGAGTATCTTTCTTATTGCTTACCAGCTGCTGTCCTCATGTGGCCGTTTGGGTTTAGCAATGTCTTCTCAAACACGTGCTCTGTTCAACTCCCCCGTCTCTCCCTGATTTTGTGGTTGGGAAGGGCTGTTGTTTGCAATTCTCTGATCCTGAGGCTGATCCAAGGGGTATCAAGGCCCTCCCTTTCAAAAGGAAAGGGCTGCAACAGCACGGAAATACGGATCAGTTCTGACAAAATGAGTGCTGAGCTGCAAAGTTAAAGAGGATCATACTGAGTTCAGAAGACTCTGCAGAAAAGGCATTTCCTAGGTAGAACAGGGGAGCATGAGGAGGAGCACATGAATGAGACAGATTTATAGCGACCCTCAAAACTGTAGGCTTGTGTTTAGCTTTCCTTGGCAGATTTTCTTGCATTAATGTGTTTAACTTCTTTTAAAACCTGTATGAAGTTCTGGCACCCACAAAATGCTTTCGCAGTGAGCTCCAGTGCAGCTGGTAATTCTACCTGCCAGTCCAAACATAAAATATATTCACTGTCTTGAGGAGAGAACTCCCCAGGAAGGGAGGCTGGGCTAGAATAAAACACAATCCCATTTTCTTTCAGTGCAGTTGTGCAGAAGGCAAACACCCCGCACTCGGTTATGGGGAAACCCCGAATAAATATTTGCCTCTTTGATTTCACAGCCCGAGATATCAAGATTGTAAAGCCACTGGAAGACGTGGAAGTGAATGAATATGAGAGTGCATCCTTTGTCTGCGAGATTTCACACGATGAGGTCGAAACCCAGTGGTACAAAAATGACAACAAGCTGAAGACTTCTGACAATATCAAAATGCGACAGGACGGTAGGATGGAAAAGAGGGATCTCCTGCTTGAATTGGGGGTGTGTTGGGATGGGAGACCAGAAAAAAGGGTGGGACCTCCAAAATCAGGTTAAGAAGGTTCAGCAGAGAGTCCTGCTTTGGTTTTGGGGCTGCGCAGCTGTGCTGTGACAGCGTTGTGGTTGGGAACTTCAATAAGGGCATATTTGGTGTCGTCCCAAATGCCAGCAAGCTGAGCAGTGTCTGGCTGTGTGTCTGTCCTCAGGGAAGACCTACTCACTGACCTACGCCCGTGTCCACGTGGAGGACGCGGCAGAGATCAAGTTTGTGGCAGAGAAGGCAGAATCTCGCGCCCAGCTGACTGTGAAAGGTAATGATGGTTTTTGTGCCAGTGCTGCTCGTGCTCTCACACGTTACAAACCAACCAACCTCCCCGGGAAGAAAGTTAATCACCACCTCCAGCTCCCAGGGAAAGGCAAACCCCTGTCTTACTGCCCATCTGATATTAGCCTGGGACTTTGCTTTGGCTAAATAAGAGTTAATTTTCTCAGAAGGCTGGTTTGGTGCCTTTTAGACATTAAAAGTTGAGTGTGAAATTTGAGGGACAAAAAGGTGTAACTCGGCTTTCTCCAGCATTTTCCCTTTCTGGTGTTTGTTAAAAAAAGAAAGCAACGTTTTGTGTATGTGTGTGTTTAATTAAAACAATGTGCTAGAGAAGAAATTTTGAGTTAACCCACTGATGATGAGCTCAGGAAATAGGAGATGAGTCCCTGGCTTTGCCACAGCACTGCTGTGTAGAGTGTTGAGAAAATTACCTTTATCTCTGCAGTTCAGCCACTCAAATGGTAAAACAGGGAAGAAAAACTTCCCTTTAATCAGTCCTTTACTTGCTGTGTGTTAGATGAGTGCTCAGCATACTGGGGACCCCTGTCAAATAACTCCCCCTAGAAGAAATACTCCTAATGAGCTCTTAATCGGCACCTTTCACGGAAACCGTGCCGACAACTCCATTTTTATTTATTTTTTTTTTTTTTAACTTTTTTTTTTTTTTTAGAGCTGCCCGTAAAAATAGTGAAGCCTCTGAGAGACAAGATCGCCCTCGAGAAGCACCGGGGGGTCCTGGAGTGCCAAGTGTCTCGCGCCAACGCCAAGGTCCGGTGGTTCAAAAGGGGCGTGGAAATTCACCCCAGCGACAAGTACGAGATCGTGAGCGAAGGCGTCTACAGGAAACTCATCATCAACGACGCCGACTACGAGGACGAGGACACGTACACCTGCGACGCCTTCGACGACAGAAGCAGCGCTAATTTCTTTGTTGAAGGTAGAGAACCCCCCCCTTTCCGCCCCTGGAAGGAGGATTGGCCGATTCGCTTTGGCGTTTGGAAACGCGACGCCACGGAAAAAAAAAAAAAAAGTGTGTTAATTCAATGCTGATTTATCCTTAAGTCTGCTGGTGTCGAACCCTTTTAGGATTAGCAGCGCAGGAAACGTCCTGAAAAATTAATATATGGTTTATTCTCCTAAGGAAAGTGGCGAAATTGCTGTCCCAGAGAAGTTTGTCAAGCGTATTGGAGAAAGTAATTTTTGTCAGAAAAGCGTTGCATTTCCTTATATCAATATCTGCATTTCAATGAGCCTTTTTTTTTTTTTTTTTTTTTTTTGCATTTTGTAGTGCCACAAGTTTGATACCAGGATAGAAAAGTGGCTTTGGAAACAGGGCTGGGAACCAGGAGATAGGGATTCCCGAGGCAGTGGTTGCAGTCTCACTGTCTGGCCTGTGACCAGATAGAAACAGTTGTTTTTATATAAAAGTATATATAGTTGTTTTTATAAACACACAAAAAAGGACATTTTAAGGCCTTTTGAGATAATAAGTTCAGTATTGGAGAGGAGGAAAGGTGACACGAGTGTTCGGGTTGATAATGGAATAGTTCTTCCATGGCTCCTAAATCCCTTCTCTCTTTTTTCCACGCAGAGCAAGCCATTAATATCGTGAAGGACTTGTGTGACGAGGACGTGACTGAGCCTGAGGAAGCCAATTTTGAATGCGAGACATCCATCCCCTCCGTGAAACCTGCCAAGTGGCTTCTACGGGGAGAGGCTTTGCAGCCTGGCAGGAACTTCATCATGCAGCAGGAAGGCACCATCCACAGGCTGACAATAGTGAAAACCAGTGCTGACATGACAGGAACCATCCAGTTCTCCATTGGCAAATCAAAATCCACAGCAAACCTGCTCGTCAGAGGTATTGTGACGTGGCTTGGCTTGGATCAGAGCAAAGATCAGCCCCTGGGAAGCAGTTTGTCACACACTCTTAATATGCGGTGCCCACTGGGTTCTTGGAAATGTGTGTGTACCTGGAAGATCTGCTTAGCTCCCAATTGCAATCTGCTGGGAGCAATGTTGGATGCACTGAACGAGCCAGCAATGTCTTGGGAAGGGAATCTGATTAAATGACTTCGGTCTCCGTGGTATTCAGACCTGTGAGATTAAAATCTATCAAGCTAAAACTGGGTTTTGATTTATTTTTGTCCTCTTGACTTTACCAAAGAGGAAAAAACAGATGAAATTTGCCAGGAGAGCTTATTTTGTCCCATTTCTGAACTAGACAAGATTGATAGCTCATTTACTTAATTCATGTTGTCGTTGACCCAGGACAAAGCTTCAAGGCTTTTTATCCTCTGCTGTCACCATGGTAAATATGTCCAATCACATCCTGAAGTCCTTGCTTTGTCTTCAATTTGCTCTTACTTGAATAAAAACTTCAGTTAGAGAGCAATTCTGTAGGCACCGAACCATAAGTGGGCCGTGAATTTGGTGGTTGGTGTATGACATTATCTTATGGAATGAAATTTATGGGATCCGTAGATCATAATGATGATGCGGCTTCAAAGCACATCAGCTCTACCAGGCACCTGAGCAGTTCGCAAAACAGCTGTGAACGTCATACACGAGATTAATCAGCACGAAACAGAGATTAGAAACCTCCTTTTTTCTCCAGGCTGACCCTCTGTTCTCTCCCAACCCCGCAGATTCCCACATACAGATCACCAGGAAGCTGGAGGACAAGACCGTCCTGGAGAAACACTCGGCCATCCTCTCCTGTGACTTCAGGCCCTCCCCCAAGATTGTCAAGTGGTTCAAGGACCACGTGCTCATCGAGCCCTCTGAGAAGTACAAGATCAAGCGGGAGCAATACTCAGCAGAGCTCAAGATCTTGAAGGTGAAGCCTGAAGACGCCGGAATGTACAAGTGCCGGGCTGGGAGCGCAGAGACCAGGGCCACGCTCACCGTCGAAGGTACGAGGGGTTTCCAGCAGCAGGGCTGGCCTGGTGCGTGTCTTTAGGGTTCAGAGTTTTACTCTAGGTTCCTCTTCTCGTGGAGGGATGGATTCCCACATTTATCTTCTGATTTTGTGTAAGTGCAATGCCTTCAGTGAACTGACATTCCGTGGTACTGAAATCTAGCCCGTGCCATGAGCTCGGTGATGCACGTGGAAAAGCACCAGCTCAGCTGGGTAAGGTAGAAATTAATGCTTGTCAAGGCACATTATTTTCCATTTCATCAGAGGAATTAGACCTCTGTTGCTTCAAAAAAAAAAAAGTTTTTTATGTCAAACTGCTCTAGGCCGTTGATTCTGGTGGTCTTGGCTGTGGTTTTCAATTCCTGACCACTGTGTCAGCTTATATATAAAAATGCTATACATTTTTATGTCTGCTAGAGATACATTTATAGCTGCTATTTTATGTCTGAATATATTTGTTATCCATAATGATGTTCTCCCTCATCTGGGTGTGGAACTGTGTTTAGCCAGTTCTTCCCCTCTGGTGAAAATGTAAGAAAAGATGTTCACTGTGTCCCTTTTCAACAAGACTTGGAGATGAGCCACAGAATCATTCACAAAAGTCCAGGGAGCACCTCTTGGTTACAGTTTGGCCTTGCAGAGGTTCTTCACTAAATGTGTTGTCAAACACTGAAATGGGCTTCCCAGGGCAGTGGTGGAGTCACCATCCCTGGAGGGATTTAAAAGATGTGGCACTTGGGGACATAATTTAGTGGTGGCCTTGGTGGGTCTGAGTTAACAGTTGGGCTTGATGATCTTACAGGTCTTTTCCAACCTTAATGATTTTATGGTTCTGTTCTATCTGAACAACAGAATTATTTAAAACCCCAAACCCCTCCTCTGAGCTGCCTAATCCTTGAGAAACAGCATTCCCTGAGTGGAGAAACCGCAAAGAGAAAACTCTGGCCAAGGTCTGGGAAAGAAAACAATCAAACTCATTGCTTCTTAATCCTGAGCAAGCTGCTTAATCTCTTTGTACGTTTCCTTTGTGGCCAAAATCATTGCCTTCATCTTGCCCTGTGTCACAGTTTCACTGGAGGGGAGTCAAGGACAATTTAATCATAATGTGTCTGTGTGTGGGCAGTGACTGACACAGGGGTTGGAGATCTGTTGGATTCTTAGACATCTCTGTAACATCACTTTAGAAAGAATGACTTATTTTTAAATTGAAAAAAAAAAGGAAAGAAAAAAAGAAAACTTGATTTATGTATAAAAAGAGAACTGAGGGTTCTGGACAATATAGTATTTTTAATGGATTTTTTTTTTTTTTTTTTTTTTTGGAGCAAATGCAGAACCAAGTAGAGGAAATGAGTTGATGCATGGCGTGAAGGAGACCAGACTAAATCGTCTGATAAACCCTAAACACTACGAAATTGTGAGTGGTAACATCTGATCTATGATAATGGTGGTGATGGTGCCCCTTTGGTCTCCCACAGCCCGGAACGTGGAAGTCCTCAAACACCTGCAGGACGTGGAAATCGAGGAGGACAGCTCTGCCGTGTTCTCCTGCGAGCTGTCCCACGACGACGAGGACGTGGAGTGGTTCCTCAACGGCACCCTCCTCTACACCAACAATTTCAACGACATCAAGAACGTGGGCAAGGTCTACACGCTGACCATGAAGCAGGTGAAGCCCGAGGATGCTGGCACGGTGACAATGAAGTCAGACAAGGTGTCAGAGAGCGTGAGGCTGAAGGTCATAGGTGGGTCGTGATCACACTCCTCCTGAACGCAAATAAGAGATGCCAGTGAGATATTATTCGCCGTATCCATGCAGCACCCCTGCTCAGAAACTTCATCCCTCCAGGGCTGCGTGAAAGGCTTGGAGGGGCTTTCTTCCAGTGCCAGTTTCTATTGTGGTTGGTGATTTTTCTAAGGAAAATTGTTTTGATGTCCTGCCAAAACTTTCCACAGATCTTTATCATCCTTTCACTTATCAGGATAATCTCAAGAGCAATCTTCTGTACTTGTAGGTCTCTTCAATAGTGTATAGTTGACAAACTGTTGTTTCCAAAGATTTTTGGCTGCAGGGACCTGAGGTTTGGTATGCCCCAAAATGATAGGGTATGCTGAGTTGGGGGAGGTTTAGGCTGGATATCAGGAGGAAATTTTTCACCCAGGGGGTGGATGAGCACTGGGAACAGGCTCCCCAGGGCAGTGGTCACATCCCCAAGCCTGTTTGAGTTCAAGAAGCATTTGGACAATGGCCTCAGGCACATGGTGGGATTGTTGGTGTGTCCTGTGCAGGACCAGGAGTTGGACTCAATGATCCTGATGGATCCCTGGCTTTTAACACATCATTTCTGGACCTGAATTGAATCAGCAAAGAGAAGACAGTTTCCTGCTGCCCTTCATATGTCCTAAAGTTCAGTCACACAGCTGAATTTCTGTGGTTTAACATATTCTTGTGCACCCTCATCAAGTGTGACACCGGGCTGAGGGGTGGGGTTGGCACACCCAAGGGTCGGGATACCACCCACAGGGACCTGGCCAAGCTCGAGAATGGGCCCATGTGAACCTCTGGAGGTTCAACAAGGCCAAGTCCAAGGTGCTGCACCCGTGCCAGGGCAGCCCCCATATCATTCCTCATCTTGTGGGATGAAGGGATTGAGAGCAGCCCTGCCCAGAAGGACCCAGGGGTGCTGGTGGGTGACACTGGTTTAGGTTCTAAATTGGTGTCAGCAGCGTTGCCATTACCTAATCTGTCTTTCAATATCTGATGACAGCTGAAAGTGTTTCAGCTTGGATATCCTGGTTGTTCTCTGTTTTTCCTGTTAACCCTCAGAGAAACCTGCTGTCTTCATGAAAGCCTTGGACGACGTTTTTGGTGAGGAGCGAGGTGTGATTAAACTGGAATGTGAAGTCTCCAAAGAGAAGGTCAAACCTGTCTGGAAAAAGGATGGTGTGAAGATCCCTTCTAGTAACAAGTACGAGGAGATACAGTCTGGGAAGACCCTGTGCCTCCTCATCCATGACCTTGAAAAGGCAGATGCAGGTTTATACACCTGTGACATCGGCACTGATGTTGCCAAGTCAAAGGTCAGCGTTCAGGGTAAGTATTGTAGGCAATGGCCATTCAAAGGGTGCTGGAAATATGGGTGGGATTGCTAACTTGGGCTCACATCTTCTCCTGCCAAATCCTCACATAACACTGCAATGTTTGAACGATCCCTGTTACTCATTAAGTATATCTGGTGTTTCAGTGAAAATCAGGTGTCAAGAATATAGTGACAATGTTTCCTCCTTGAACATTCATAAGGGGCAGAAATCTTCCAAGAAGAGGGAATAATTTCTCAGAAAAAATCCCAACTAACAACAAAAAAAACCCCTACAAAACCCCCTCCAAGCAGCCTGTGCTTCTTTTTTTAATTCGAAATCCATTGCGGGAACATAAAAGTGTGACAACACTGTCTGTTGAAGAGCCCAGCAGTTCCTCCTGCCCTCTAATCCTTGTATCTGCCTGAAGGAAAAAGAATTGTTCATGGCCTCCAAACCCACATTGATAATGAGAAAAAAATCTGAGTTTTTCTGATCTGAACGTGGGAAGTAACAAGTTAAAAAATCCTAACATCTCATTTCTCATGTTAGCAACGAGAAGAACCTCACACGTCATCCCAGAGGCTTCTTTTCTGACATCTTTTCTCCCTTGTACTGCTTTGGATGTTGATTCTCCATTCAGTCCTTCCAGAGCAGAGCCAGGAGATCCACATGTCCCTTTTTCCATAACTTTGTGCTGATTCTGGGTGGATAATACCTGAGAGAAATCCTTCCCACGTCACAGACATCTGTAAGGAGCGCAACGCTGTCCTACCAGTCCAGCAGATAAACCACTCCTTCGAGTTAAAAACACCACTCCTCCAAACTACCCTAAACCCCTTCTCCCCTCGTGTCAACCTGCCTCTCATCCTGCAGAACTGAACATCGGCATCACCAAGAGGCTGAAGAACACCGAGATCCAGCTGGGGGAGGACTGCACTTTCGAGTGCATTCTGTCCCACGAGAGCATCGATGACTTCAGCTGGACGCTGAACGGGAGGAAAGTGGGGAGCGGGGGGAGGTTCAAAGCCTCCAACTCGGGTCGGAAATACACCCTCAGCATCCAAAGTGTGACCCCTGAGGATGTGGGCGAGGTTGTTTTCACTGCCCGTGGCCTGACCTCCAGGGCTTCTCTGGCTGTGAAAGGTAAGGAGATCGGGGAGGTTCTGGGGGTCGATTCCCTGGGTGTGTTTTCATAAGGTTTGTCAGCAAGCACTTGTTGTGATCTGAGTAAATACCTTGAAGAAATTAGGTTTTTCCTTAAAAACAAGTGAAAGGCTGAAGCTTCTAATAGATATTTGAGAACTGACTACACTGGGTAGTGTGTACAGGTAGTTACAACCCAGACTGTCTCCAACAGAGGCAATCACCCAAGGCTCCCTGGGTGGTCAATGGAGAGAAGAAATAGGTGGTTTTCAGACATAGTTCATAACCTGCAATTAGTCCTTTTTCATAGAATCAGGGAATCCCAGAATGGTTTGGGTTGGAATAGACACTAAAGATCACCCAGTCCCACTGCCTGCCATGGGCAGGGACACCTTCCACCAGCCCAGGTTGCTCCAAACCCCGTCCAACCTGGCCTTGGACACTTCCAGGGATGGGGCAGCCACAGCTTCTCCAGGCAACCTGTGCCAGGGCGGGGCTTGGAGCAACCTGGTCTAGTGGAAGGTGTCCCTGCAGGGCTGGAGCAAGATGATCTTTAAGGTCCCTTCCAACTTAAACCATTCTGTGATTCTGTGATTTAATACTACAAACCCCTCGACCATATAGTGATGATGATTTTCACTCAAATGTCCTTTTTAAATTTTTCCTCTCCAGAGAAACCAACTGAGGTTACAAAACAGCTGGAGGATAAAACATCACAAGCAGGGCAGGACATCAGCCTGAGCTGTGAGCTGTCCAAACCTGATGTGAACATCAGGTGGTACAAGGATGGCAAAGCAATCCGAAAAAGCCAGAAATACGACTTGCAACAGGAGGGAAGCCGGGCCATTCTGATCATCCGGGACTCCACGGTCAAGGACAGTGGGGAATACACCTGTGAGACAGAGAGCTCCAAAACAACAGCCAGGGTCACAGTGCAAGGTCAGTTGAAGAGCAAAGAGGGGCTGGCAGGGACAGAGGCTGGGGTAAATACCTACAACCTGCTGGAGGTGTTCTTCTCTTCTGTCTCCCTAAACAGGATCCATTTTTAGTTTTCAAAAAGCACCATTGATTAAAAGCTTAAAAAAAAAAATTAGGTATGAAAAAAACACCTCGTAGGTACTGAAGAATCTTGTGTGCTGTGTAATGACCCAATCAGAAAAAGCAGTTTTAATTAGTCTGTTTTGAATATGGGGCATGAAAACAGTGCATGTTCTGTAACATGAGACCTCACTAATGCCTGGAAAATGGCACTGAGCTTTGCTGGAGATGTTTTACCTGATCTGTCCTGGGACAGAATGTGGACCTGGTGATCTTCTTGGATCTGTTCCATGTGATAGGATGAGAGGAAATGGCCTCAAGGTGCACCAGGGGAGGCTTAGACTGGATATTAGGAAAAATTTCTTCATGGAAAGGAGGGTATTTGCATTAAA